CTATGCTACACGATTCGCTTAAAAAAACTCGCGCCACTTTGTCATCCAATCAGGAGTAGAACCAAATCCAATCATGCGTGGTTCACACTTGTTTTCCCGCTCTTTGCGTCGACTACACTTGTCTGGTTACACGTTTTGATTGGTCCCCTGGATTGTCTGGGGCAATTTTCAATTTGTAAATCTGTAAACAGTGAACCAATCAAAATTCGAAGTAATAACATGTAGCTGACGCAAAGCGCGAGAAAATGTGTGCGACCGCGTTTGGTTTTACTTCTGATTGGATGAAAAAGTGGCGCGATTTTTTTACCAATCGTTCAGAAGTTGCAGGACTGTGTCAAGCACACTTGAAAAGTAACAAACATACCTGTCTTCGCCGCCTGTTTTGCTCCTCCCTCTCAGATTCCGCCAAGGCTCGTGCTAAAGCCCGGTCTTCATCTTCTTGTGTTGTTTGTGGTGGACTGGGAGGCTTCACCTTTGACTGATCCTGTAAAGAGGCTTGTATTGCTAGTGCCAGGGCTTCATCCTCACTCTATAAACAATGATATTTCAGCTTGTAAAATCTACAACAACATCACTTATTAGGCCCTGCCAACACTACGTCGGAGAAATCTGAAAACAGTGTTTTCACTCTAAAAACGCATCAAATCTTTTCCGTCCACACAACGCCGGCCTGAGAAATTTGAAAACGCAACAATTACCGGTCATTTTGGATTTGTGTTTTAGGAAAACTCGATCGGTGCAAGGAAATCACATAATTAACTTATCGTGACGCCATCATTTTCAAAAAGCTTCGTTTTCAAAATGTTTTCCATCCACACGAAAACGAAAAGCTGGCGTTTTCAAACTCCTCCGGTTTGAAGAGCGTTTTGGAAAACTCTGTTTTCGTTACAGATTAGTGTGTACGGTAGGCATAACCGTAGAAATAAAGCTGCGTTTTCAAATTTCTCCGACGTAGTGTGGATGGGGTCTTAGTCTTGGGTTGACTGAGAATAGTCATGGTATTTACCATTGCTGGTTGTGGAATGGGTTGATGACTTCGTGGCTGTTCTTGCCTTTCTCGTCTTGATCTGCAAGTCAGACAAACACAGTTGCCAGTATCCAAATAAAAACTAATTACACCACTTGCAAAAAATTTCGGACGTTATGTTTCGGATGTTTAATTTTTTGACATTTTTTTATAAAGCTTAAAAATTTTGGACACTTTGTTGAAACATATATGTGCACGTTATTTACTGGGTGCGAGGTCCGTATTGGGAAAAACTGTGCCCGAGGTCTTGAGTACAGCCCGATGCTTCAGGCCGAGGGCCGTACTCAAGACCAAGGGTAGAGTTTTTTCCAATACGGACCGACCAAGGCCGGTAAATTATGAAATAACGTGTTTATTTTTTCTGTACAGTATTGCTTTGAAAGCAACTTTTGTGACGAAATTTAATAAGAGCTGCACAGTTCAAATCTGGCGTACGCGTACGTTTGACATTTCGGGATCAAAAAGCGATACTGTTTGCAGAATTTGTCCGGCTGATTTTACATGTTACACTGTGTAGCGAAGTATTAAGATTAACAAGGTTGGTTTTTGGTCAAAAATGTCCTTTATGTGCCAAAAATTGACGATAATGAAAAAGAAACGCACGGTTTGAAAGAAAGGTGAGTAATGAGCTTTTAAATCTAAGCGACACACATTCACGAAAAATCGGAAATGACTTATTTGCTGCTTTCTTTGACTCTGTTGAATGCTTTTACGTTATTTTACAGTGTAACAAAAAGCTTGAAAAGTTGCCAAAGTTGGAAAATTTTCAGCAGTCCATTACGGGGTCCGGATGGGAAAATCCGGGACCGCTTGAGCGCGCGCGATCAGCCAATCAGATTCAAGAATTTAGGATTCCGGAGCGCTTAGAAGCTGGAGAAAAACTAAGTTAAGTAAATTTATCTCTACAAAGTACGAATTAGACTGAAACAACATCTGTGAAAATGATAGTTTTACTCAACCCCGAGTTGTAGAAATATTCCTAGTTGAAACTGGCCAGGGACAAACTCCAAGTGCGTGGCATTGGCTTAGTGCAGACATTACTTCTCTAAAGTCTTGTCAGGGCTGTATCCAGTATGATGCAGACCTAGGCACTTGCGCCAGTAATTTTTTTTCGTTTTCGTTTTTTTTATTTTTAATGGAGGAAAGTAAAACATTGGTAAATACCTAGGAAGAGTGTCATGATTTTTTTATGGTTATGACCCTGCTTTGCCTTGTAGTGTGTGCAAGGGTATGCAGCTGAAGCTATACTGAAACATGAGTCTATGTTACTAGAAAATATTAAGAAAGTATGAGTACATCAGAATAAATAACTATCAAAAGCTGTTTCGTAGTGTGTACCTGTCTAAATCTCTGCCCATCAATGACAAGGATGTTTGTTGTGGTTTCTTTGATACTTTTGATGATGAAGTTGCATTCTTTGCTCTGAAAGCTGCGGCCTCCCTTTAGAGGATGAATAAAACAATCAGAGAAGTTAGGTAAAATGCTGGGGTTTGGTAGGTCAAAAAATAAATAAATAAAAAATTGCCAGAAATATCTGGTACACACCATTCCCAGTTCCTGGAATACTGTCAACTATATTTAAGTTACTTGCAATCTCTGTTCCATAAAAAATTAAATCCCTGCTTACTCCTTCTCTATCAATAACTCAATACAATTTAGATAGGTCTGCAAGGCGTGCATGTTTGCATGACATAACTCTCACTAGGATCCCAGCTGGCTACACATGCCTGAGTTGCTGAATTCTAGACTACTGATCCACATTACAATTTAAGGTCCTCCCCATTTCAGAGCAAGATTCATATATCTCATATGCAGTTTCCAAAATTTTCTCAAAATATATTTTCAATCGTGTGAGCTGAGAAGCAACATACATTTATGTTTTCTTATTATGCATACAATCGCATTCTTAGGCCAAACAAAATGGCAAATAAATGATACTGGTACATAAAAAATTGTTACTTGACCTTTAATATGACAGTTGATAATAATGTTTTCTTATAGGAACAAAAGAGAGAAGATCAAAACATACCCAGCTTTCACAGATGCACTTGTTTTGCTGTAAATTAAGATATTCTTCAATGAATTAATACTTGTCTCCTGTGTGAAAGGACTGTACTAAGTAAACTATTTAATTGCTACGAAAATTAACAAGACTTAATCAATGTTTCAGGATTAAGACTAAAATTTGGATTGTCCGAGAAAAATCAGTTGGAAAAAAGGTGCTAGAAAGGTCCCAAAATGGGTGGTTAAACTGCTCTTTAAAAAAAAATATCTCAAAATAACCTAGTCTCCTCCGCAGCTGTTATTGGGGTCGTCACGCAACGCTTCTCCCCCACTAATAGTTAGTGGGGGAGAAGCATTGCGTGACGACCCTAATAACGGCTGCGGAGGAGACTAAAAATAACCAGGATTTAACCTAAAAATTCCCATCAAAAAGCTTATAAATTAAAGTTGATTAATCTGACAGGTAAAAGTGTCAGAAAAGTTGATATTCAAAAATATATATTCAACATCATACATCTGGATCTGGTGTTGACAACAATCAGAATTCGTATACAGTTTGAATGTGCTTTAAAGCAGTTCTTATATGATAGTAACAATGAATTCAATATATTTAACCCTTTACTGGAGCCCTAAGAGTGACTTATAGATTTGACTCTGTCTAACACCAGACGATTTTACCCGTTAATGATCTTTAACAAAGAAAAAACGAACCTTCCAGCACTTCCTCGTACAACTGCAGAGCAACTGTGATCTTGCTCATGTCTGTGTTTTAAGCAAAAGTTTTGCCGACATGACTCACATCTAACAGGAATAAGCTGAAATGGGTTTAAATACAGCACATTTTACCAACTAAAGAAAATGTCACTCACAAATATTTAGCTTTAACAACAAAAGATGAACAATATGATGACATTTAAGAGTACCTAATGATTCTATGGACCTGACTTTTGTTCTAACTTATGTTAGGTTAGGGTCTGGACCCTTCCCATAAAAATTTACCACTTGACTGTACATCCAGTGAAATAAATAAATNCTTTGTTACATAAGGGACAAACTGGCACTTGAATGTCCTAGTTATAGACAGTCAAAACATAAGAATCATTTTAAAAGTTGTGTTTCAAACAAAAGCAATTAAACAAGCCATAATGTTTATACTTTGCAAGATGCTGAAGAACCAAGAAAAACTGAACAACCATCTACCTTTTTATAAGCATTTTCACAACTGTGTTCTGGATACTTGATGTGCTCTTTACTGTAATGAAACAAACAGCTGATTTCCAGTCAAGATTTTATTAAATTTTAAAAACATAAACGAAGATAGGTTCTGGTAACGTGAATATATAAAACTAGAAAAGTCCTACCAAAACAACTTGGCACAAGCATCACATTTCATGGGAAGGAAATCTAAAAAGGAGAAGTCATAGACAAACTAGTTTTCAGCTCTAATTGAACGCTTACAAGCTTACGGAAACTTACGCTATTTTCGCATAGTCATCACCCAGAGAAATTCGATTCAGAAAAAAGAGTTTGTGCACACGTCAAACAAAATTAGCTAACAAAAACCAGTTAAAATCAAACTCACCTAACTGTTTGCAGGTTGTAAGAGCGCAATTTGCTCCCAATTCGGGAAATTCCATGTTTCAATTTGCACTGTTATAAGATAAATTTTCTTTTCCGTTCAAAACGCGGTAGTAATACTAAAATTTTTAAAGTTACGTTCGTTAAGTACTTCATGTACGCGGAGTCAGATGGATTTTCAACCAGGCCTAAATTCCCAGAGTGCACTCGGAGCAGTGCGATATTGCTCAAAAACATGGCGACGTTCGTGGCCCGGCGAACTATTCCAACTTGTTGTAGATTATTATTCGTCCCTTCTTCGAGACAGATCGTCAAAACTTCTTCCTTAGGTATGTAAAAGAGTTCAGGTTTTTTCCTTGAAAGTTATTTTTGCTCTCTTCGGGATTAATAATATTCTTCTTCTCGGTCGTGTTTGTAGTCACGCGGCCGTTATCGTCATGTCTTGTATTAAGTTTATCAAAACCGGCAATTACACCATACCAAGCGCACTTTCGGAGATGTCGGGCAACATTTACTGGCCATGGAGAGCAAGGTCCGCCTGTAGCTGACAAAGAATTGCAGGAGTGGTTGGAGATGGCAAAAGGCAAAAGTTGGCTCTGGAGATTTATGCACGATGTTGACGAAATCGAGAATAGCGTGAGTACCTTGGACTTAATTCGAAGCATATAGTGTACCTTGTGCCTTACAGGATGATGTTCAGAGACGTTGGGTGTATTTCCCTGATAAAATAACAACGGAGTTATCAGGAATCATTAAAAGTTTTACGTCCCTCATTAATTTCACCATGTAATAATGCAGCCTGCGGCCCTCTCTGTAACCGTGTTTGAGATATTTACACGTGCTTGGCTTTCAATACTCTTAGTGATCCATATAAATTTATAATAGGAACAGGGTGCAACAAAAACCAATCTGTAACAATGATGTACTGGCTTGAAAGTCATTTTCACTAGTCCCCTTTNGTAGTCTATGACTGAAACCAGGATTGTAAGGTTGTAAAAGGTTACTGTATATCTTTGTCAAGCCCTTTACCCTCTTTCAGGCCTCTTTTCAGATAAAGTCCCTGCCCATTGCAGGAAAACAATAATTCTTTTGAAAGTTCCATCCATTATTTGCTTTTTTCGTTGTACAGAAATAAACATTAAACAGTGTCTATGCCCACTTTTGTAACAAATTATTTTGCATTATGATTGTAATGCAAAATAAGCTCCTGCCAAACCCAATCTAATAACCCCACCCTCATAAAAACAGGTCTTAAAAGGAGATATTTGAAATCCCCAGGGCTTAACAATGCTTTTACAGTATTTCTAATCTGCGCAAGTTCCTAGCAATAAGCAGTCTGATTGATTGTATCTTGTACATCAACAAAGTCCTTCAAGAATGTCAGATGTAAAATCCAGTGCTAGAAAAGATTTGTCAAATTTGTCTTTCAGGCAAGGAAAGACAAATTTGTCTGTTACATTTACATTTTGTTACGTTTTTGCTGCTAGCATTTGTTGGATTATTGCTTACTTGTAATGTCAATTGGCTTAATGATTATGACTTTAATCAAACGTTTCATGTGAAATGAACATTCTAGTATATCTTGTAACTCCTGATGTATTGTACTAAAGGCTAAGAGGCTTGACTCTAATCAAGGTGCATTTTAAAACAGCCATGGTTGAAGGCATTTTGTGAACACAACTGTACATTGAAAATAAAAAGTGCCATTTTAAAATTGGTTGTGTCTGTTACTTTGCTGAACCCTAGCAGCAATTATATTTAGCAGCTCTATTTTTAGCAGTTCTATTTATAGAACAGTCAGAGTTACCCTGAAAAAAAATAAAGGTTTAGTGCTTGTAGGTAGTTATGAAGATAAGATAACTCCCAGTTAAATCTGATTGTGAACACGTCACTGTAAAAGATGATTTAATGGGTATCAAGCCTTGTATGATTCCTCATCAAATATTTGAAGTTTGGTCTTTGTGTTTCAAACTAGGCTACAATGACAACCAAATTTTAGGCTAGCCCTTTGGGAAAGCTCTAAATATAATATACTAGCCCAAAAATCATTTTCACTAAACCCCGAATTTCCCCAAAATTTTCTTAAGAAACTTCACTTGCCCATTCAGCAAGCAACAAACTAACCTGACTGGAAAATCTACTAGCCCTAGGATACTGGACAGGACTTTCTTTGTACACTGCAACTAGAACATGGGTTTTTGGGTTTTTCTGAGTTTTCAAAATGTTGCCAATAAGTGCAGATGAAAGTTTAAATCAGGAGTTTCCTACACTATGGATCTTCTTGTTTGAAGCTTTGCCTGTGTTTTTCAGCCCTCGCTGAAACAATACCAACTTCTTCAGGCACCAAAGTTCATGCTACATCGACCAGACTAAACATGTGATGAAGAATCATGCAACAATTGATGCCAAATCAGATCGAGTCTTTCATGGCTTGCTTATGCCTAGATGCAACCAAATATATTACCTGCCTAAATTTTAGGTTATTGTAAAGAGGAGCTCCCTGAAAGAACCAGTCACTTAGCTAACTTTTGGACTGTTCACTGACAGTGTTCTTGAAAATGATCTGTAAATCTAGCAAGCCTTTGTAGCCAGTAACAGTATCACATCTTTTAGGGTTAGCCCATCC